TTTTATTAGGAAACTGTTCAAATTGGGATCTGTCCGATCCTTCCCACTTGTCTGCTTCCTACCTATTCCTCCCCCTCCAGTCCGGGTACTGGGCCAGTCCATCAGATTGGCCCTCGAGTGACTCTTCAGACTTCGGGCACAGCAGTGCATGACACTGCTCACTCGATCACAGACCAAGGCCATGGACCGGAAGGCAGGAGAATCCCTCCTGGCCTATGAGGAACGCCTGGTGGCATTCGTTCAGGAGGCCAATGATAGGGCTGCCGCCGCGGCCAAGGAACGTAATCGGCTTGAACAAGAGGGGGAGGCCAAGCGACAGAAAGAGGAACAGGACCGACTTCGTCAAGAAGAGGCAGACCTGCAGGCGGCAGCCGAACACCGGTCACGCCAACGGGAACGATTGTTCACGCGGGAGACCGTGATCAGCGATGAGGCCGCACATTGGGTGGAAGTGACATCTGCAGACGGGGCCCCGGAGACTGAGAAAGGGCTGTCAGCCCTTGCGCAGGTCTCCCACGACCTCGTGGCCACCTGCGCTCTGCAGCAGGAGGAAATCCTTCACCTGCAGCAGACAGTGGACCAAATGCTCGCACGGCTGCAGGCGTTGGAGAAACAGCCAGCTGCTGTAGCAGCCGTAGGGCCTTCCACCCTTACCACCTGTGTGCAAGTTTTGGAGGATGACGTCAGCAACATCAAACGTGTGCATCAGGACTTCCGGACGTCGAAGCAAGCAACGAACTTGCAGTTGGAGACGCAGGTACAGGCTGCTGCCACCGTGACGCCCGCCGCCGCATCCTCCCGGCGCCCACCCAAACTGGATGACATTCCAGTTTTCTGCGATCAGTCCAAGACGGAACCGATCCCGTGGTGGCGCCAGTTTACTCTCAGGCTCGACATGCACCATGTCCCGAACAACGATCGACATCCGTGCTTGTACCACCGATCTGGTGGTGCGTGTCAAGCATGGCTGGACAACATCTTGACCAGCCACGGCGTAGCAGTGTCGGAACTGCACACCAAGCTCACTTGGCAGGAGTTAACTGACGCCTGGCACAAGCGATTCCAAGTGGAGCCGCCCGACCTGCAAGCGATSGACAAGCTCAACAAGCTCCATCAAAACACGCTGCTCAGTCAGGACTGGATTACCGAGTTCCAAAGACTCGCCTCCACACCTGACCTGCCGCTCGCATTCCGCGCCATCAAGCACTTGTTTATCATGCGCTCGTGTCCATCTCTGCAAAACGCGCTGACGCAGATTGCAGAGACACTCGACACATCTGACAAGCTTTTCAGCTCAGCGTCACGGATCATTCTCACGAATATCGAAGCCCGCAACACCGGCCGATCTTCCGCGACGACGAGCGGCACCCAGCCCAAGCCAAAGGTGGCTTGCATTACTTCTACCGAGGCTGCAACACCAAACGAGGGTGAAGTGTTGGCAGCTGCCCGGGATGGTGGCCGGCCGCGCAACAACCACGGCCGCGACAAGACGAAGACTTAGTCCACCTCTACACCGAGCACCGGATCAGCCGCCGACGAACCTTAGGCACAATACGGACTCTCGGCGAATTCTTATCGCACGAGACTCCAGTACCGTTACTGCCTTTGGTGCAACAGCACCATCCACGATGCTGCACATTGCCCCACCAAAGGGAAACTCCGTCAGGGAAAGTAGGCGCCGCCGAGGGTGACTCGACACCTCCCTCGACGCCATCGGAAGCGGTTGTGCGCACGACCGCCCTTTCTTCCGAGGCATATGCGGATGTCGGGAGTCTTCCACTTTCGTTC